CTTCTCTGGACAACCTTTTCAGTTCCTCACCACAGTCGGAGTAAAGAATTTCTTCCTAACATCTAACCGAAATCTTCCCTTTTTCAGTTTAAAAACATTCCCTCAATTGAGTATTTGTTGGTGCTGCACACACAGAGTCAAGATTTCAGCCAAGGTCCCCTTTCCGTTCCTTTCATCCAGGAAACTTTGCTTTCTGTCTCATTTGAGGGTTTTTTTTTTCCTTACCTCTGGTGGCAGGTTGAATTACTAACAGCAAAGTTGTACAGATGTGCAGTGTTCAAGGTCTGTGATTTCAGGAACATTTTATCTACTTGTTAGTGGTGGGCTTAACTGATGGGCCAATCTCTCCTAGTCTAGGTTCAGGTGGTTTACTGGCAATAAATACAAAATACTATAAAATAAATGAATGAATTTGAAAGGTGAAGGAATTAAATAGCTATTCTGAAGCTTGCAAACTTGTGTAAGAGTTGTACAGCTTGGCAGCACCAGAGGAGAAAAGTTACCAAAACTAAGATTTCATCTTACACAACTTGAAAAATAGCGTGCATGTACCTGCAGTTTCATTATTACCTACTATTTAATTTCTTTTAGTATTTTGATCTTAATCTCACACGTTAGCTTCTTCCTCTGTGTGTCAATGTTTGAGGAGCATTTCCTTTAGTCTTCATGGAGGGACGTGCAAGTGACAGAAAAGAAGTTCTTCTCCTGTTGAATCAATGGCGCAGTGTGTGCTCCTCTTCCTACAACTGTACTGCTGCAGCAGTAGGTTTGTAGTTTGCCTGAAATCCACTCTTATTGCTCCGACTCAGAGAGTCACTATCCTTCTATGCTCTTTTCCTTCTTGGGATCCTTCCATTTTCTCTCAGTTCTTCATGGTGAACTTTGCATTCTCCATGTCTCATCCTGTGATTTTTGCTGGAGGCCACACAATGCCTTGACCTATAGGCAATAACAAGGATACTTAAACAGATTGGTTCTGCCATCAGGTGCCATGGGTTTGATGCCTCTGTTGTGCTCCAATATTCCCTTTTCCACTCAGATAAATGTGAATTTTCCCATTGAAGTATTGCTGGAGATTTCTGTTTCTTCCAAAATTTGTTACAAGTGAGGCACACAAACTTTGAAAGACAATGTCTTCAAGCTTAATGCTTGGCCTCTCTTTCCTCTCTAAATATGTTGTTCTTTGTGAAATAAGCACTATGATTACTTGCAGCTGTGATTTAAGTGATCTAAGAGGTGAAGAGTACCGTGAATTATTGCCAGTGCCTTGACACTTCTGTGTGTAGAACAATACAGTTTAACTTGAATGATGGACACTAAAGTTTTATTCCATAGGAGCTTTAAATATTTCAGAAGTAAAAATGAAAATGATTCTAAATATTGACGGAAGATGGAGAGAAAACTGTCCTTTTGAAATTTTGTTTAGAAAATATTTTCGGGATGACAGTTCTTTGTAATTTCTATTGTTTCCAAAATGAAGCTGCCCAAGTATAAACCATCAGCATTCTATTCAGTAACATTTTGTCTAATGAACTGCTCGAGGACCTTCAGTGCTTTAGGTCCAAGTCTGAGGTAGGTAATTTTTGTATGCTGCCATAGCACAGGGAAAACCTTGAGATTCCTAATGCTTTTCAACAAAATGGAATAGAAATACTGCAGCATCCCACAGGGAAAAAAATGTCAGGGGTTGCTGTCAACTTCTTGTCACTTAATGGAAAATGAAGTCAATGTTCATCAAAGGAGGGGAGGAAGAATGCATTTCACTTTTCTCATGGTGAGTGTCTAGCTTTTTGTCTAGCATACATCTGTATCAGATGGAAAGATTCAGTGTCACCAGTATGGCAAAATATTTTACCATGCGGATTTCTGTTCCTTACATTCATTGATACATTTGTGGGATTCTGAAGGCAGAGGGAAGCCACACGAAGGTCACAAAACTGTAAGCCAAGGTAAACACCCTGTCAGAAAATATTTAGCAAATGGTGTAAACCACAGAAAAATTGAGAACGGAGAGGAAAACACATTTCCTTAGAGAATACGTTTCCTGGTTTGAAAAGTATTGAAGTTCAGAGTCCCTTACATTACCTCTTTGTCCTTTTCAAATAAATTGCCTTTGTTCAGGTCGTTAATTCATTTCAGAGTCCTGGGCACCTAGCCATAGGGAAGAGGAATACATATTCTGCAAGTTATATATGGGAAGGTACAATGGGAAGTGTTGACTAAAGGCAAATGCACCTTTCATCCCTGGATAAGAGATGAGACTACCTATTGGTCAGAACTTTTGGTAATTTTTGAGTAAAGTACTGAATGTGTATATGTATGAGCATTACTTTAGTCACTGTGCCACAGAGGATTGTGTTTTCTGGTTTGTACACTGCAGAAAAAGGATTATTTTGTTAAATTAGCATATTAACTTTTTTTTTTTTAACTCTGTTGTGGATAGAAAAAAGTTTCTGTTTCTCAATTCCTGGTTACTTATCCAAGTTTTCTTGCTTTACAAGGAAAAGCTTCCCTTGCTGGGAAATTTGGTGGCTGTGATATTGTCCCTGCCAGTTGACAAGAAGCCTCAGAACTGTGCAGTGCAGTCTTGTAAATGCTTAAAGCATCTGAACCACTTTGCTTTGCTGTGTTTTGCAGCAAGTTCTATCTTCAGTCAGCGTGTCCAGAAAATGTGCAAGGGGCTTTTTTTAGTTGATGTGAAATTTGTTTCACTTTTATTTCAGGGGTACAAGGAGAACAAAGATGCAATAGAAATGCTGTGTAAGTTATGGTAGAAGTACTAATGCCTGTTCTGTATTTGACTCCCCACAAGCATCTGAAATTGTTGAAGTATGATTAAATTATTAATTCTTTACAAATCAGAAAAAAATAGATGGATAATTATCTACCAGAGACATAAAAAGATGGAAATTGGAAATTTTGTAATCCAGTCACTGTTGAAACACACCACACACTGCCTCACTGTGTTCACATCCACATTCAGCAAGTGCTGGTGAATGTTAGTGGGTGCCAGTTTATCCACACGGAGCAATTTAGTGCCACACCTTTGCTTCATGCACACTTCCATGTCAGACACATCCCAGTCTGCCCCTCTGCTGCCATCTGTCACACAGCAACACAATGTAATGGAATATTGGTGGGAAAGTTCAGCCTCTACTGTCATACCACCAGCATCCGCCTCTGATGTCATGAGCCAGCAGAATAAAATGAGAGCATTACTTTCAGAGCAGCCCTTGTGTGCTAAAATTCAGTGCTCAAAATCAATTCAGTAAATATGGTGAGCTTCGAAGTCTTACTGCGATTAATGTACACGTTGTCTTCGTAGTCACTTGTAAAGCTGATCATAAAGTTAAAGCAGTTTTGAATCAGGTAAAGGAATTAGTGTTTCACTGGGAAAAAATATGGTGATGTAGTAATTAGTATCATAAGTTCAACAAAGATTTAAAACTATGGGACGTGGTAGTAATACATTTTGAACACAGTTAATGAGCATATTCATTGCGTTCATTTCTAATTAAGTGGAAAAAATACTGGTCCTTTAAATGGAGATAATAAATGTGCAAGTCAGTCTTGCACAAACATGCAACACCAGAATTTATTACCTGCTGTCTAACTAGGGAACTGGGAGTCATTATAAAGATTAGATTTACTGAAAAAAAAAATTGACAAAAAGCTCCAGTAGAAAATGTTTGAGGTAATAATTTTCCCATTAAATTTTTCTTGGCAGAGTGGGAGTGAGTTTTCCTTTTTAAAATACAGTTACTTGCTGTCATCGGGGCTAGTAGGACTGTTTGTACCCTTGAAAAGGATTCAGTAACATTTACCAACTTAGATTTCTATGAGCAATACATTTTGTTTACAGCTTTAGCTGTAAGAGAGCAGAACGCTCTCCAAACTGTCGAAACTTTCCTAGAGGTGTGTTAGGCTGGGGTAGGAGAGCAGAGGTGCTGTGGTCATGTAGCAGAGCAGTGGCTGGGGCAGCAGTAAGCTTCCCAAAGCCAGCTGGGGCCCGAGGGTTGCACTTCTACCTTTCTGAGCCCAGGAGCATTGCTGCTCACAGGTTTTCAAGCTCGACGGCAGGGGAAAAGCGACAGAAATTCCTACTGTTTATTCTGTCAGTAGGCATCTGGGGAATTGACATGAAACAGGTTGAAATATTAAAACCAGACGTGCCTTCTAGAGTAGTGGTTTTCAGTGTTTTTATGACTTGAGAACCCCCTAAACATTCTGCAGTGGAAGCAAGGACCTTTGTGTGGTGTATTAAAGCTTATGGGTGACAACTGACGGGCGTTCCTTAGTTCCTTTCATGGACCTATTTGAAGTTGTTCACTGATCCCCACGGATACCCAGACCACACGTTAAAAACCAATGAAACTAAATCAAACCTTCTATGTTCTGTTCTTTCAAAGCTCCCAACTCATATTTCTCCTGTCGGTATTACCAACGGATCGGGTTCTTTCTGACACATGGTGCGTTTATGTTTTTGCTTAACAAGTGTCTCACTGGGATGTGCATAAGCTCCAAATGTGCTTCCAAGTTTCCCTAAACCACCTTAACCTTCCGGAGCTTACTCATCCCTGGTATTACAAGGGGGCAAGATTGCATTACCAAAAGCCTCTGAAATTTCACTGGCAGCATGGAATATATTTCCAATGATATTACAGTGCCACACATGGCTAATTACAGGTTTTTTTGGTCTGAATTATTTCTGCCCCATCCTGCATATTCTAATTCCCCATAAAAGGAACAGGCTAAATCATACTCGTGGTCTATTCAAAACGCTAACTCTGCTCTTATTTCTTTAACCTCACTGTGTGATTTTATTATGTATTTAAGCCAGTAGCAAGTTGGAGGCTTTTTTAAAAAGAGCTAACTTTGGTAGTATACTTTCAGCATTTAGAAATAATAAAAATATAATAAGAAATTTGGTTTATGCATTAGAATTGGATGTTCGTAGAAATTTACCAGTAAATAAACATGTAATTTTCTTTTCTGCTCAGGTATGACTTTGTAGAAGTTGAAGAACCTAGTGATGGCACTGTTCTAGGGCGCTGGTGCGGTTCCAGTAGTGTGCCAAGCAGACAAATCTCCAAAGGAAACCAGATCAGAATAAGATTTGTGTCTGATGAATATTTTCCTTCTCAACCTGGATTCTGCATCCATTATACCCTTCTTGTGCCAGTAAGTAACACGTTTCAGGAGCATTTCAGAAAAATAACGTCTTTGAAGTGGTGGCTCAAAAGAATCTTTACGTAGTTTAGGGTTAATTACTGTTTATTTCATAGTAATAATAATAGTGAATAATTTGTCTGCCAGAATTGTACGTTTTGCTCTTTAACTAACTGAGTGTTTTTGTGGTTGATCTTGGATGGCTTTGGACTGGGAAGTTGATGGCTCAGTTGTTTATATGGAAACTCGAATAAAATGTTTGCATTCCTATTACGGTGCAGTGAAATAAGCCACTTTTTCTTGCTTTGAGATGAACAAATTCAGCGTAAGAATCAGCTGTGTGACCTGTAAAGAACATTGAGTGCAAGTGAGACTGAAGAAATTTATGTTCTTCTAAGTCAGCTACGCCATGCAGAGCTGGATGATTATACCTAGCTCAAAAAAAAAAAAAAAAGTCCTTATTATTCTGAATTGTTTTATTATAGTGGCAAAGCAGATGAAGCACAATACTTATTTTTCACCGCATTTTTCCTGGAAAATGTACTTTAGACTTCTCTTAATGTTGTTTAACACCTGCAACTCACAGGAACTAAATGCTAATTGTTGTCTGAAGTATGGCTGCTTTCACCATCAACAGATTTCTATTATTTTTTTTTCAACAAGCGAAAGATCTGTGCTAGCAAAACAAGATTTGTAAGTTTTTAGGGGTGAGACGATGTTCTGAACTTCAGGATTGAGTGGAACAGGAGTTGACTTGTTTTAGATATTCCATATTTAAAGAGAGTAAGGAATATTTTTGTTGCAAGCTTTATAATTCACTTTGTGAATCTCCTCAGTCATCTTGTGGTTTGTGGTATTTGGTTAGTGTAAAACATCTGCAAGCTCAATAAAAAACTGATCAAAGGAATCCATGTTGTAAGCCTGCTGACATGCACTTCACTCAATGCATTTGACTTGCTTCTTTTTCCATTTTTGCCTGTTGTCCTCCTTCACAAAACTCCATTTATTGAGGAGAATCAAAGACTAATTCTGTGCATCTTTTGATAACACCTCATCTCCTGTCTTACATGTTTAGTACACTGGTAGTGAAGTTATTTAAGTGCTGTATTGTGTATATACATGCTGTTTCCTGTTGTATGCCTCTCAGTATTGGTAACTATTTAGGCCTAAGTAATATTTCTAAAATGACTAAGGGCAAGTCTGTTTGACTCTTTTGTAAGCTAGATGAATGAATTTTGAAATCAGAAAACACATCAGTCAGTCTCTAAACCATCTTGGAATATGGCCAGGTTTGAACTTGTAATACCAAAGGGCAGAAGGTAATGAGTATGTTTACTTTTAGAAAATAGTAAAAAGAAGATCCCTAAATAGATGTTGTGTGAGCTGATGCCAGATTTCATTGCAGTTGCTCTAGTGTTGCATCCTACCTGCTACACGTTTATCTGACGTTTGATCAAATTTTTCTGGAATGGTTTAAACAAATGCACCTAAAACAAATGCACCTAAAACTACCAGAATATACATATAATTATATTCATGTGTTGCTGGGCTGGATTTATTCCTATATACTTGACGGGGAAAACTTTTAAATTATTAACACTCGCAAAAGTAATCTCTAATTTTCAGAATATTTAGATCACTAACCATGAATATCTGCTAAGTAGACAAAAAACAGAGACTCTTGACACTGTATTATGCCTTTTTTTTGTCCTTCTTTTCCTCCATTAATTAAGTTTATATGCCTAAGATGTATGCATACAAACTGTTACAGAGAACAAGCTATTTTATCTGTCACTTATGTAAGAGGAAAGAGCAATCCCCACCATGTCACAGGAATGCAGAGCTAGCTTCAAAATGCACAGTACAACAACTGTTCAAAGGTTGGTGAGAATGACTTTCCAAATTTCTAATGGAGAGATTTTTCTTCAAAACAATCCATTTTAATAAGCCATGGAAAATAAAGTTTCACATTTCAGACTGCGTAATTAACTGTAGAGACTGTAAATGCAATCCTTATTGATAAGTTGCAGGATTAGACCTGCTTCTGGTTTTCAAGCAATAGAAAACTGAAGGCTCTCTGTCTCTCTGTCTCTCTCTCCTTATTCATTTATGCATATACATCTAATGCTTTATCATCCTACATTTCAAGATAAATTAAAATTTACGGCTTCCTCCTTCGTGTGAAAAATGTCAGCTACAGGAATGAGTGTAATTTGTAAGTGATTTTTGCAAAAAACCATCACTGATTTGCTTAGTGATTCGCTTTTATGAATTGGTCCTAAACAGTTAATTTTATTTTTTTTTTCATTTTTTAAGAAAAGGGGGAGGGGGAGATGCCTGGTAGACTAGCAATGAGAGATTGTTTGGGGAGAAATGAAGCAAAACTGAAATAAAACAGTGCAAGCTTGTTTCTGTATTTGGAGGCCACACACGGAGAAGGGCACTGGACACATTTTCAGGTCTTTTAAAGAGCAAGAGAAATAGCTTTGTTGAACACTCCTGTAATTTATTGTATATATATATATTTAACATTGTATATTATATTTCAAACTAACTTTTCTATGATTAATAAGTAGAAGGAGAATGACTATTGATCTGATTACCTTTCTCCTAAGATATAGCTGCTCAAAAGTACTACCATTAGTTCCAATGGCACTCAGAACAACATGGCTTTACAGGAACATTTAACACAGGATTGCAAGGCACTGCTTAAAAGCTGTGGGTACGCTGTATACGAGCAGAACGTTTCCCGAGACAACCACACAGCTTTTCTTAAGGATCTAGATAACTGCAGTTTAATTATCTGATTTTCTTCCATTTTAAATTGTGTGTCATGGGTACATCTCAGAAGAACATTCTCTAATTTTGGGTTAGCTCTCTTTATTTTTAACTGTGTTCTTTTGTTGCAAGTTAATTGGAACACTGTAAAGTGCAAGGAAGTGTTGAAAAAGCTTATTTTTGCTAAGAAAAGTTAGCTTGTCTTATTTCAGAGTTCTCCTGCTACTTTCAGCACAGTTGTTATTCTTAGGCACTCTTTTCATGCTATACCCTATCACTTAGTCAGTGCTTACTGGTGGGCTGCATTATTCACTAAGGGCTGTTTAGTGGTTGTTCTGCATTTTGACTGTTCAGCTATGCCTTTACTAAAAGTCGTGTATTTGGCAGTGTTATATAATCCAAAACCACCTAGAAATATACTGCAAAAACGATCCATATTTCATCTCTTTTCCCCTCCTTCTCACTTGCCCCCAGTTACAGGTCTGATCCATATAGTAGCCATATGCAATTAAGAAGAAACCTCATGAACACCTACAATATGAGTTTGGGCTTCAGTCTTTCCAGAGACTTGTTTAGTTTAAATTATGTCAGTTACAAGTTTGGCATAGAAAACTTGATGTAATAAAGCCCATTGTTTCTTGGGGGAGCGGGTGAATGGGATACTTGATGCCTGAGGTGCCATTAAGGAATGCATGACTGATTGCCAAAGTAGTTATTAATTATTCAGGGCACTCAAAACAAAGCAGCTCCAGTTAAAGTCGAAGCTGGGGGTGACTATATTCCCTTTCTTTTTTGGCATATGGCAGCATGTCTGCAAGATCATGCCAAAAATCTTTGCTAAGAACAGACTTAACCCTCTTTTCTGCAAGTGAAGACAAACAGCAAAATCTAAAGGGAGTCTTACGAGACTGACCTGGTTTAAAAGTGACTTGGAAGGTGTTTTGTGATTTTGGTGCAGTACCTGTATGGCTACCTGGGTTTCAATCCAAAAGAGATCATGTTCTTTTGATGGAGAGATGATGTCTGTAGTTCTCTTGCTGGTAACCGTAAGGAACTGTTAACTTGTAGTTGACTTCAAGAAGGACTAATATTCCTCAGGTAATCTGTTTAAGGCCGTGTAATAATTGTTACTTCATTTCCTCTGAATTATCTAAACTTTATCTTTTTTAGGGTTATGTTCATTTTGTTTGTGAAATCTCTTTAAATTGAGAATGTTTAATGAGAAAATGCTGATAAAATGTAAATAGTTGTAGAAAAATGTGTACTAATAAGAGAGAAAGGAAAGCTCTTACCTGGCTTTCCCTTTCATCCATTTCAGAAATGTCAGATGTGTATGTGTTACATCAGGACCAAAGACCAAGAGAGGCCTAATTTTGGCTGCAATAACTGAAAACCCATCTAGAAACATCACAAAAGGATATTATTCATCTCCTAAGCAAAGGTGAAGGAAAGGCGTTATCTCAACAAGTAATCAAAAGTATTTGGAAAAGAAACAATATGATTTTAGGGGTTTTTTTGAGCCAGAGCCAAGGTTGTATGAAACAGCAGGAGAGTATGTAAGTGTTAGGCAGTGCTTTGGATGGCTACATGAGAAGAAAGAGGACTGTGAAAATCTTTTATACATTCAGAAAGGCTCTTAAACATAAACTCTGCGTTCAGAGTTTCCACTATGTATGGTGAATCCTAAGCTCAGATAAATCAACAGGCTCCTAAAGATGCTCAAGCATGTAAATCCCTTGATTCAGTTTTTGTCTGTGGCAAAGAATGATGTTGCAAGTCAAGGGAGGTTTTTGGACGAAGTTCTCCCTTGGCGATTTCATTTTGCATTAGATCTAAGCTGAGGATTGAAGAGAAATTCCCTTTAAATTTTTTACATAAGATATGAAAGATTACCCACAAATACATAGATAGGTGGGACATGCTTCAGGGTCAGTTCTTAAAAATAAAAAAAAAACTACAGAGTACAAAAACGAGCTACGATGAAAAGAAAATAATCTTTTATCAGTCAGTAGTAATAGAAACAAGCATTTAATCTGTTATGCTTGCGGGGATGTGAATTTGAAAATGTGTTACTTGGCAGAGTTAGAAGTAAGGCTAAGTTTCTACACCTTTCACTGTTTCTCAAGACATCTCAGCATGTCTTAAACCAAATCTTTAAGGAATCTGTTACCAGTGGTGGTCATAAATGGATGATTAAGGAGCGCTAAGAAGAGGCCAAGAAGATGTGAGGGATG